ACTAAAGCTCAAAAAATTTATGAATTACATTATCACCTTCTAACCCAAAACAAAGAGAAAATAAAATAAAAATTTTTTTACATCAAAACGGCTTTACTAAAGCTCAAAAAATTTATGAATTACATTATCACCTTCTAACCCAAAACAAAGAGAAAATAAAATAAAAATTTTTTTACATCAAAACGGCTTTACTAAAGCTCAAAAAATTTATGAATTACATTATCACCTTCTAACCCAAAACAAAGAGAAAATAAAATAAAAATTTTTTTACATCAAAACGACTTTACTAAAGCTCAAAAAATTTATGAATTACATTATCACATTCTAACCCAAAACAAACACAAGAAAAAACAAAATAAATTTATTTTAGTAAAGCCAAAAAAAAATTCTGAATTACACCTTCTAATCCAAAATAAAGACAAAAGAAAAGAAAAAAAAATTAACATGAGAACGGTTTTGGTAAAACAATTTTAACCCAAAAAATTATTCTGAAATATATTATCACCAAAACAATGACAACAGAAACAAAAAAAAAAAAACCAAAAAAAAAAAATTTCTTCTTCAGAGTTCAGTTAAACTGAAACTAAATAATTAGTGTATTTATGTAAAAAGCGTGGTTCACAAACACGCTATCACAGGAAAAATTTGTTTGCCAAAAAGCGTGGTTCATAACCACGTTTTCAGAAGAAAAAAAATTTAAGCTAAAAACGTGGTTCAGAACAGCGATTTCAGAAGAAAAAAAATTTAATTAAAAGCACATTTCGTAACCGCGCTTTATTAATTAAAAGCGCGTTTTGTAACTATGCTTTTAAGACTTCCCAATTTTCACGCGGGAAAGCGTGGTTGTGAACCACGTTTTAGCCTATTTTGAAAATTCTTTCAAAACTAGGCTTAGTTTGAAAATTGAATTTGATAATTTGGCTTATTTAGGGAAATGGCCCTCGATTGACCATCCCCGAAAACCAACTATACAAAATGGACAAAATCTGAAGCCTTTCATACTCCTTCTACCTGGACTTTATACGAGGCTGTCACCCAAAAATGATTTCACATTAAATGGTTGGAAGAATCCCTCGTCCATAAAATAATAATTAGAAAAAAAAAAAATTCAAATCAGTCACCAATACGGGAAGTGTAAAGACTGTAAGAGATTCACTATCCTCAACAATTCCCAATCATTTAGTTCTTCCCGGAGGGCAATGTCCCAAAACATCTGTCCTTTATCACACACCTAAGGTAACCACTCAAAGAAGACTCCCTTCTTCAAAGAAACATTGAGCAACATTCGGAAAAGCCAACTCCGATCGTTCCTTACCTCACCATTGATGACTCCAAAACTTCACCTGCTTCCCACTACGCATATGACCAGAAAAGGACTCTCACCCATTTCATATAGGAAATAGAAAGCTTCTCATAGGCCACCTCCACTTCCCCACCCAAACGTATTAAAATTTAACTAGATGTGTACATTTGTGTAAAAGTTAGTCGATTTAACTTTTGTTGATTAATATTTGAATTGATTGTCCTCCTCTGCTTGCTTTCCATGTGCGTGTTATGTCTTGAAGTTACTAGCTGCAACATTGCTGTAAATTTGGAATTCAGGCTTGAGTTGACTGCCCTGCAGTTTGCAATGTAGCTTCTGCAGTGCTCAAGTCACCTAATTATTCTCAGCTAAAAGAATCAGACCTATAGATATAAAAGTGTTTGATGCTAATAGGTTTGCTAATGTTCTCTTACTAACAATTTTTTTTTATTTTTTATTTTATCATTGCTTGTTCATACTAGTCAAGGATTTAAGTTATGACACCTGGCTTCGGGACTAAAGGCAGCTCTTCAAAATGATAAATCTGTGTTTGATGCCAATCGTCTTCAAAAGTACACTGGCATCTTAACTTCCTCATTAAGGTTCAAGCTTTTAATGCTTATTTAGATGTGTTGTTGATGTAAATTCTATATCTAGACCTCTCTCTCTCTCTCTCCCCCCTAATACATAAATAAATTGAAGGGAACCTGGTGACAGAGATTGGGTTGAAAATGACTCATCTGTTTTTCCAAATTCCCTTGAGTCTAAGATAGCACAATGAAGATGACTGCATAATAGCTTCATATCAAGATGTAGTCATTTTTTGTGTAAGAACGCAAATTTATCCTTCTCGTGACTGCAACATGCTGTCATTTTTTTCTTAGAAAGCTTTATTTTGAGTTATGTCAATTTAAATGAATCTAGCTTTCCTGCATGGGCAAATCTTTCCTTTTGAAACTGCTCCAATAGGATCTACTTTCTTTGCTGGTGAATATTGAAATATTACTCGATTCAGTAGTTACATTACATCTGTAGCCAGGAATCTGGTTGCTGTCACTAAGGAAATTCTCCTTTATAAGGTAGTGATTGTTGTGATGATTGTTCTTAGGTTCTGAATTACGGAAATGGTTGATATTGCCAAGGCCACTTCCTTTGGAGGATGAACGGGTCCGCTTATTGCACGAGGTACAGTTTTACAGATTTTCATATCCATTGTATGTGTGTGTGTTTCCTGGCTTTTATTGTTTTTTGAAGTAGGTTAATATTGTTCTTAATTTTTCTGGGAATCAACCCAAGTTGTATGTAATTTAATGTAAGTGATTCAGATTGGGCGTGAACTGGAGAGAACTTTGAGGGGAAAGCATCCAATCTGGTGGAGTCGTGTGGAAAATCTGCAGTAAAGCTTGTAGCTCTTGTTACAAGTCACTTTCCTGGTATCTTTAATTTTTGCATAGCTGGTTCAAATTATACCTGTTAGCATGAAAGTCTTTTGAATAGTGTGTATGTTTTATGGCAATAAATGGGGTGGAATATTTTGTATGAATAATTACTTTTAAATACTGTAGGTTTCCGTGACCACACTGTTTACAAGGGCCACCAGATATTCTTGTCTAAAAGAGCTCAGATATTTGCGTCTGATTTAAGGGGTTCATTCAAAGGCAAAGGTTATGGAGAATTCAACGACATAGGTGCAATTACCATATTTGCTGACTATATTGTTTCAGCAGTGCTTCGTCAGCTTGGTGTTCTGAGATACAATTCATCCCTAGCTGGCATAATTGAGGCTAAATGTGAAATCGGTTTCAGGCAGAGAGGAGGAAGTGGAACTACGAGCCTGCTTGATATATGCTGTAGAGAAAATGAGGGAGTTAATCTGGAAAAAATCTGGAAAACAGGTCTGTCTTGTCAATTCTTTGTAGTTTGTATAGTATTTCTTTCTTTGAACCAGGGCAGTTTCCATTTTTGACATAAATGCTAGCATGTCTTCTCTGATATTCAGCTGTTTCGGTGGTAGTAAGTTGAAGATGATTTTGTTTTCTTTAAAAGAAAGTGCTTTTCTTTAAGTCTTGTTTTGCCACAGTTTGACTGAATATCATATGGAAACTCTTTTATAGATGCCATCATGTGTTGGAGACAGCATGCAACTTGTCTTGTAAGGTAGTTCTCTGATTAAACTTTTGTCTGCATTTGCTTGAGAAACATGAAACTTCTTTTCCTCTAATATACATTATCGAGTAGTTGACCTTTGCTTGACAACCAAAAGAAATTCAATGCACAACTGGTCTCTTTTACCCCCTAACTCTTTTGCCTGGTTAATTGTGGTTTGTTTTTCAATGTCTTCCAGAAATTGCTAAATCCAAAGCATTATGGTTGTATCCGCATGCGCTCACTCTCACACGGGTGGGTCTCACATGCAATCATTAAGACCAAGGATAATTATTATTTTTATATTATTTTTATCTCTTGATTTACATATACAATTTGAAAATCTTACTCAAAACTCTAGATGATATATGGCTTGAACTAGTGTTTCGTATTGGTATGCACGTTCCGAAATATAGTACATTTCCGTTTCAAAACAGTAAATTTAGTGGTTTGAAGTGATCTCAAAAGTTTTTTTCTAATATATTTCCTAAAATGTTACCTTATAAGGAAAAAAAAATCAAATATAATGAATTAAAATCCAAAGTGAGTTATTTTAACAAGAAAAAACATCGAAAATGAAAGAAGAAAAAAAATTTACTGGATACCTAATAGTTGAAAGAAAATTACTCTAGAAGTATTTTAAATTTTTAAGTGTAATACATACAAGTCTACCCCTATCGCATCATATTTTAGAGCATGTAACGCACCACGTTCCCGTTTCCGTTTCATGTACCAAAACGATCTACATTCCAGGTAGCATAGGCTGGAACATACCGAAAAAAAGAAATTATATAGATAAGGTGAGAAATAACATGAATCCTTTTGTGTCATTTTTTTTTCTGGAACATGTTTTTATCCTAATCTGCAGTTAAAAAAAGTTCCCGAAGAAACCTATTTTATCAAAGAGTAAAAACTTCAGCCCATTGAGGGATTGACAGCCTGAAAGTAGTCCTTGTCTTCAAGTTTTTTTTGGGTCTGCAATCAATTGCAATCAAACCCATTTTAGGATTGATGACATTTAAATATTGACTCAATGAACACTATGTTTCATTATTGTCAACAACTATCCATCAGGAATTTGCAAATGTGAACACCAAAATTTTTTAGTAGTGTTTGAATAATTGCTATTAGGGATGTAAGAAAAACCCAAAAAACCAACCAAACCGATTGAACCGGACCAAACCGGCTATATTTGGTCTGTTTTTTAACAAGGATCGGTCTGTGAATTTTTAAAATTTGAATTTTTTTGATTTTCAGTTCGGTATCAGTTTAAGCACCTTCTGCACCGATCTAAACCGAAACTGACCGCTTCAACATATATTGTAGTTATAATATATATATATAATCTAACAATCTAATCATATTAATAAGTGTAATAAATTATTAACCTTAATTAATTAACTTTATCATCTTTATAACCTAAGTTTGTAAACTCTTATTATATATAATTTTAACTCTTAACTCATTATTCTTGAAACATTAGTATTTTTAAACGTTTTTTTTGTTTTTATTTTTGTTAATTTAGAAATTAAAAAGTATGTATTAAATGGATGGATTGGATATGTTTGAAATGGTAGACAAATAACTAATTTAATATTTTTATATAGATTAATGATTATATTTAAAAGTGGCTCAAGTTTGAAAAATTCTAAACCGATTAAATCGCACAAAACCGAACCGTTACAATTGGTTCGGTTCAGTGTGGTTTGATGTGAGAAACGGTCTGTATCGGTGTTCAAAATAATAAAACCGACATTATTGGTTCGGTGTTATTTTTTACCTAAATACCGACTGTACCGAACCGATTACATCCCTAATTGCTATTAATACATGGGACATTTAATCTTGTACAATTGGCAGCAATTGAGAATTGCTATTAGAAATTGATGAGCCATGCGCGATGTTGAGGCTTCATGATTTGCACATCAAAGAAGATCTGGTCCCTCTAATGCATGCCATAAAAAGCACTTTTCGAAATCGATAGATTTTAACTTGCATGAACACACATAGGGAGTACCCACTTGAAAAAATGTTCAATGATGATTTGGTGCTCTAATGAACTGAGCTGTAGCACTTCATTCCAAGTTGCTGCATCACTGTTGAAATGATACTTGATGGGGGGCAATACATGGCCACAAACTTGTGTGGAAGTCCACCACTTACCATCATAGGAAATGTTTTAGAACTTCTCTGTACTGCAGCTTAAATATATGAAACTCTTTAAATGCCAGATTTAGATGATCATTTGGAAGTTTTAGAAAAGAAACACATTTTGGATAATAATAATTTTTTTTCTTTCTTTTGAATGGGAATAATAGAAATGAATGTCTTTTGTTTCTTACTTGTAATTGTCCCCATTTGTTTGGCAAACCTCGTATTCATGAAAAACTTCAATCTTCTCATATATGTGCCATTTTCTTTTCTTTTTCCTTATTAATGATTCTCAAATTACATGCTCTTTGTCTATTTTCTTCTTTTTTAATTCTTCATATTGAATTATCATACATTATAGTACTCTGAAATTGACAGCTTATTTTTTTTCTCCATAAGTTCTTGAAATTTTGATTTCTTTGATTCTTATGCTTTTGTCCAGGTGTTGAGTGTTGACTTAGATCTTTGGTTATGGTCTATTGGCGTCGAGTGCCCATCTCTTCAACACCATTGGATCCTCTCTATATATTAGAGCATCTCCAACCATACTCCCTAAAATGCCTCTTCAAAGTACACAAAAAACTACTTTCTTTATTTTGCCTAACTAGTTTAGCTAGTGTATACTCCAACCATACCCTTTATTTTAGATAACCAATCAAACTAACTTAACTAATTTTTTTAAAAAATTATTATAAACATTAATAAATAAATATTCTTTTTATGACATGCTGCATATATTGACGTGGCATTTGCAAATATTTATTTATTTAAAATATATAATTAAACTATTTATAAAAAAATATTTTCAAACAATCATATTATCTAAACGGTCATATTTTCAAACGGTAATATTCTCTCAACGGTCATATTTTCAAATGGTATTATTCTCTAACGGTAATATTCTGTAACGGACATATTCCTAACGGTCATATATTTTTGTTTATAAAAAGGATTTGCTCTTTCATTTTTACCAATTTTTGAACTATATTTCTCGAACTCATTCATTTTTTAATTACCATGGCTTGCAATACCAAAAAAATGATTCTTAATGACGGTGATAACGAAAACGGTAATATTCTCTCAACGGTCATATTTTTAAACGATAATATTCTCTAACGGTAATATTCTCTAACGGATATATTCCTAACGGTCATATATTTTTGTTTATAAAAAGGATTTGCTCTTTCATTTTTACCAATTTGAACTATATTTCTCGAACTCATTCATTTTTTAATTACCATGGCTTGCAATACCATAAAAATGATTCTTAATGACGGTGATAACGAATTGCAGCTAATAACGATAGTTGCAATGGAAGAAGAGCGACTCAATAGAGAAAATATTCGAGAAGACGTAGTGGTTCTCAAAAATAGTAGTTACTTATCGCGATCGAGTTCAAGGCCATGAGAGACTTTATCGAGACTATTTCTCAAAAACAGCCATATATCTTGCTCATTTATTCAGGAGGAGATTCCGAATGCATCGATCTCTCTTTCTTCATATTCTATCTACTGTGGAAGCATACGATCCATATTTTGTCCAGAAAACAGATGCTGTTGGAATCATTGGTTTGTCTTCCCTTCAAAAAAATGACAATTGCAATGAGGATGCTCGCTTATTGAGTAGTAGCAGATTCAATGGATGATTATGTGAGAATTGGTGAAAGCACTGCCATAGAGAGTCTAAAACACTTTGTTAAGGTGGTGGTTGCAATGTTTTTTGAGAGGTAGTTGGTTCTTATTGATTTATGTACTAATTTATATGCCTTAGTGAGGTCCCGTTTGGGAAGATGGTTTTGGCTATTTTAGCTACAAAAGACAAAATAGGCTATTTTAACCACAACAAGTAAAACATCACATCCAACTCATAATCATTACACTCTTCTCTCACCAAAAAAAAAATCAAAAAAGTCAAAAAATCAAAAAGCTCTTCCCAAACCAAGTTTTTTTGCCCAGGCTAAAATAGCCAAAAAAGTCAAAAAGCCAAAAAAAGTCAACCCACTTCCCAAACGACACCTGAGTGTGTTTTCAAAAATATTTGTACTACTTTATGTGCTTTCAATAATATATCACTAGTGATTCGTTTTTAATCTATGATCTTTAGTGATATTTAGAATAAATTTTTTTTTGTCAATAAATCAGTAACTTATTTTTGGAAAAAAAAAATTATAATCATTGATATAAAAAAAATTGTGCTCATTGACAGCAAGTCATACTGAGAAGCAAACATGTTTAAATGCAATACATTTCTAGAAATCAATGGATTTCCAAGTGGACAAAAAAAAAAATAAAATAAATAAATAATAAACTAAACAGAACCCTCAAAAGTGAAACCCACTTCAACGCACAATCAATATCAATCCACACCCAGTTCAATATAATTAAATTTGACCCAAACAGAACCCTCAAAAGTGAAACCCAAACAGAGACTCCGAAAGCTGCACTTGTTTCCCTAGTCGGCCCCGAACTTCGAGCAATCGGTTGATTACACCATCGAGAACCGAAGGTTCCTTAATTTTGTAGAATTTCACTCACAAAATTCAATCTCAAGATTGAGCAAGAAGGAAATAATAAAGTAAGGGGGGTTGGTGATGTT